GTGGGTGGGGGTGGGGTGCAGAGGCATTTGGAGAAAACACCTGAGGACCCATCTCAGACGTGCTCCCCCTCTCAGAGGGCTGGGCCAGGTGTGCTGGGAGGAGGCCAACAGGACGCGGCCGGGAAGTAGTGTTGCTGTTCTCAACCGCTCCTTTCCAGTGTCTGCTAGCTTTTCTGCCTGGTCCCAAGGAATTCCTAAGACCGGGGCCATGCAAATAGCCCCGGCTCTCCCCCTTCTCCCCACACTGGTGAAGGCAGACAAAGGCTCTAAACCAGGGTCCAACCTTAGCAAGAAAAGGTATCCGCCTGGCTTCTGCCTTTTGTCCCCACATGGCAGCTCTGTCCACCCCTGGGGGATGCCCTGGGCCGGCCTTGACCCTCTCAGAAGGACATGCAGTGTAGATGTGGATGTGGAGCACCAAGAGAAGGGCAGAGCAGCACCGTCACTGTGAACTGCTGGGGTGCAGGGGTCTCTGAAAACTCGGCACTCCAGCGGGGGTGCTTTTGGGGCAAGAGTCGGCTCTCAAAGACCAAGCCAAAAAGAAAAGTCCCAACTAATCACCATAAGGATGCAGTGGGAATCCAGGGGGCTGAGTGCTGGGAGGGGGGTGGAGGGATCCGCCGTGGCCTTCTCAGCCAGGGCCTGCCTGCTGCTCTTGAGCCGGTGCACCTTTTCAGGGGAGGGTGTCAGCTTGGAATCCACCAGCCCTCTGATGCTCGTGAGTTTGTGCAAACGAAGAAACGGAAAAGACTGGGTTGGGAAGAGAAGAGAACGTGCCTAGGATCGCCCCCTCCCCAAGCTCTTACTCGGTGGCTCTACCAGGGGCGGGCCCAGAGGTTGGTGTGGGCAGAGTGAGGCAGGCAGGCGGGGCTGGGATGGAGGTCCTGGCTAGTGGCCTGGGATCCTGCCTCCTGGGCCTTGCTCGGGGGCTGCAGGGACCAAACGGGTTCGGGAAAGAAAGGGTGTCATGGCGGAGGGGCGGTCATTGCAAGGGTCAGGGCTCTCGGAGGTCACCCAGAGGACCCGGAACGCCAGGGGCTGGCTTAGCCTGTGGCTGGGGCATGGGAAACCCATCGACGACGGGTGACAAGGACTTACACTCTGACACACGGGGCGCTGGCTGGCTCTACTCTTTCTCGGCAACCGCTTCTTGCAGTAGAGAGCGGGAGGCTTCTGCTCCTAGAAGGCAGGGATTTGGGTTCATGTAACTCCCCGCTTGCATGCATTCATGCGTGGCCCTCCCCCCAAAACAAACAAAACCAAACCTGCCTCCGTGCGGGGCTCTACATATACACTAGTCACCACGCGGGGGAATCATCTTTATCCCCAAAGACAAGGGGCGAGGACGTGTCTCGGGTTGGTGCCGAGAGTTGGTCGGCAAACAGAGCAGTTGTCGGGACCAAACCGGAAAACCCAACGCCGCCATCGAGCAGATGCCAATGCAGAGGGGCCCTACAGGGCAGGGGAGGACTGCACACACCTGCCCAGGTACCAGGTCGCCACTGACCACTACTCCTTCACCATGTGATGCTATGGTGGCCTGGGGGCGGTGGTGGTGAAGAGTGACTGAGAGTGAGCGACGAGGATGGCTTTCAATCGCCCGCTTCTGGTTTAGGCTTAGAGACAAACTCCAGAGAAAGCCCGTCGTGAGCAGAGATGGGGGCGTCCCTGACCCAGGGGTCTCCCTAGTCTGACAAAGCAGGGTGGGGGGGATGCCCTGGTCACGCAGCTGCGGCTCCCTTGTAAAGGCTCACCTTCTTCCCAGCCCTCTGCGACACCAGCAAGCTCATAGTGTTTTTTCCGAAGCTCTCCCAGTTTTTGACGCTCCTTCTGCAATTTCGTTTCTAGCTCCAGCACCCTGACCTGTGGGGAGAGGAAACGGACGCTCCTTTTGAGCAGAGAACTCTCCGAGGTGGACGACATCCCTCTCCTCCACGGCTTCTGCCTCGGCCATCCTGCTGCCACGGCTGACCAAGCTTTTCCACGTCAACACTCTCCTCGGCGAGTGACGATCCTGTTGGTGCGCTCACCCCAGGGGGTCTTCCCTTTTTCTCAACGCCTCGATGCTACCAATGGATGCTGCTCTGCAGGCCCACTGCCTCACAGGGCCTAGGACTTACCTGGTGCTCTCGTGATACATCAAATAGCTCCCTCCCCCCACTCCTGTGGAAGTACTGCACCTGTCCCCTTCTCCTTCAATCTCAGTTCTCTAGAACTCCAGGTGGAGGTGGTGGTGGAGGTAGAGGTGGTGGTGGAGGTAGAGGTGGTGGTGGTAGAGGCGGTGGAGGAGGAGGCGGTGGTGGTGGTAGGTGTGTGCTTTATCTCTGAGGTTTCACTTCGACTGTGGGCTGTTACTGCTACATGGGGAAAGGCCCGGGCTCTTTGTCGTACTACGTCTGCTGCTGAGGCTCAGAGAAAGGTGGGTTCTTCGTGATCCCCGCTCATGGCCAAGCCAAAAGTGATTTGCTGAGCACCTGTCCTCTAGCTAGGCACTCTCACAGGTGGCCAGGCTAAGATCCCTCCCTGCTAAATGACATCCGTGTGAACCAAGAACGACCTGGTCGTCAGGAGGATGACACAGCAGCTGGAGACACCGTGAAGGGTGGGCAGCAAAGGTGACTCAGGGGAAGGGACATCTGAGCCACCACCTAGCTGACTACAAGCAGCCAGTGGGCCCTGCGGGGAATGACGATTCCAGGAAGGCAGCACCATGGGAGCAAGGGCAGTGAGGTGGGAGTGAGCGCAAGGTGCTACATGGCTGGCGTGGGAGAAGGTCCTGAGGGGAAGATGAACTGGGCCGGGATCATTTCACCCAGAGCCCGCAGGCCAGAGAGCAGAGCGGATACTACCCTATGGGCACAGGACCTGTGTTAGTTACATAATCTGTGGTCAATTTGAGGATTAAGAGTGAAGGGGTGGAGTCTAGGCTGTCAATCAGGTCATAGCCAATGAGGCCTCTGTGTGGGCAGGGCCTTCTCCTGAGGATCCTGGGAACTCCGGTCTTCCTCCTTGGAGGCAGGAGACACCCTCTCTCTCTGCTCACTCCCTGGGAGACATTGCAGCTGAGGAGACACATGGAGCTACGCTAGAGTCCCGGAGCTGGAGCAGCCATGTGGAGACCCCTGCTAGTGCTGAGATGCTTCCACCGCCAGTGGATCCACGAGACTTCCCACTCACTAGCCTGTGATCTTCCTGCATTCGGTGTCATTGCATGTGTTTTGTGAGTCTGAAGAGGGCTTTATAGATTGGTATCGAGCATATGGATTAATATCGGACTTATGGACTTGCTCTGGACTGGGCTGGTTTCTCAATGTTCAATTGCTCTGGTATATAAAGCTCTTTCTTACACACACACACACACACACACACGAATTTGTATCTCTAGTCCACCCCGACTCACACAGGACCATTCAGAGGTTTTAAGCGGAAAGTGACATGCTGCCCTTTGTGTTTCCAAACACAAGGAGCTGTATGATGACATTTACAGGAATCCCCGGGCAAAATGAATGGGCAGGGGGCTAAAGAGTCTGATCTTTACTGATCCCCATTCTCTACCTCCACGGTTTCTTCCAGCAACACACATACACCTTCACGGGCTAGCAGGTGTACCTGCGCTTCTCCCCTCCGCGAGGATGATCTTCCATGGTCAACGTTTAAAGCACCCTCTAGCGTGCTAGACTAGAACTTCCAGATGGAGTGCCTACCTGGGAATCCATCTCTTGGCGCTTGATCTGGGTCAGCGTCAGGCTGGAGAAGTCCATGTTGTCTGCAATGAGAAGCGAGGAAACCTTGTCACCTGACGCCCTTGGCCGGCTCTTGCCGGAGAGATGGCCAATGCCGATGCCCTGCTGAGACGCTTGTGGGGGGGCCTTTGCTGACCATGTCATGTGAAGGACATCACAGAAGGGGCGGCTTTGGTGCAGCCAGCAGCACATCTCCCCAGGGGCAGCCCCGCCTTTGAAGTCAAAAATATCTCAAAGGAAAAGCTAGCCGAGGGCCCGGCGTTACAGGGGACAGGCAGTATACTCACATGGCATCCCCCCTTGTAAGAAAGCATGCGTCGAGGTGGAGAAGGAGGAAAACAAAGTCTTTAGAAACAAGGCGGTGGGCACTTGGGGCCAGGGAGGGGGAGAACTGGGACGGCGACTTAGAGGTGGGTCAGGAGAAGCCTGGCTTCAGAGAGGCTACCTGTCTCCTCAATCTGTGATTTGCCAGAAATGGTTGAGGCCACGACCCCGGCAGTGGCCTGGTTCACTCCCCGGGAGGCCTGCTGCAGCTGGGAGAGGTTTGGGCTGTCCTTGTCGGCTTTCACCTATCGGGACAAAGCAGGCTCAGGGTCACACAACACGGACAGCAAGCCAGGGGGACGTCAACGAGGCTGGTCTGACGGCTCCTGACACGGCATGGTTCACTGTCATCACCAATCAACTTCTCGGTGATGGCTGCCGATACGCCAGCTCCTGCCTTATTCCCTGTGTGGCCCCAAACTCTGGCTTGACCATTAATATATATGTATTTTAATCAATATGCATAAAAAATACACACACATTATACATATATTTGTGGTGAAGGTTTAGGTTTATAGGTTTAGAAAATTAGGTTTCCATCTGGCAAATTTCTGCACCAGTTGTTCAGTGGCGTGCGTCAGTTTCCCTAATGTGTGTGCACGTTCTCTTGAGTTCTGGCTGATCATTGGTACACCGCAGAGAACTGTTCACCTTGGGTTTCCTGTAGACGGCTTCTTAAGAGAGTGCGGCATTCGCAGGTAGAACCCTTCAGGGGCTACTCTTTTTGATCATGACAAGGGGATCTTGGGATTCTTTTGCTTCAATGGTTAAAGCAGCGGTTCTCAACCTGTGGGTTGTGACCCCTTTGGGGGGTCAAACAGCCCTTCCACAGGGGTCACCTAAGACCATCAGAAAACACATATTTCCCATGGTCTTAGGAACAGAGACACTGTTCTTCTATCCGTCCCCAGGCGGGTTTGCCCACATGCAGATCTGCTGATCAACCTTGGCACTGATGTTGGCTTTTTACGCATACTGTTGCAAAAAGTAGCGATGTAGTTTACTGTTGTTATAGTAAGACTGTTAACCATGCTACACCATGCTTCAAGACAAAATTTCATTTACTTGTCATTAGAAATAAATATTTCACAATATGTAATTACATATTGTTTTTGTGATTCACCACTATGCTTTAATTATGTTCACGTTGTAACAATGAAAATACATCCTGCCTATCAGATATTTGCATGATGATTCATAATAGTAGCGAAATTACAGCTATGTAGTAGTGATGAAAATAATTTTATGGTTGGGGGTCACCACAACATGAGGAACTGTATGAAAGGGTCGCAGCATTAGGAAGGTTGAGAACCGCTGGTTTAACGTGAACCTCAGGGCGGTAGTCTCCAGTTTCAAATAATTTTAAGGATCTGCTTCACCTTTCCCTCCCATGGCCATCAGGGTCCATCCAGGGTGGCCCAGGTTGGAGCCATGGTGGGGGAGCTGGGCACCAGCTAGCTCCTCTGGTCTCCAGGTGCGGCAGTGGCTCCCGTAGATTCTTAGCTCTCTAGTTTCTCCTCTGATACCTCGACTTCCTTCTTTCTCTGTCTCCTGACAAGTGGAGACCACCCTTTGATGGTTGCTTGCAAGCTCTCAAGACCCTGGGCACGCCACCTCACTAGGATGCAGAATGTGAATTTGGGGAATGACTATGCTGGTGGGCTGAGCTGTCCCACAAGACTGGGGTTCTGAGCCTTCCAACTCAGTCTACACACACAGCGTCCATATAGATCCTTCTGTGAGCACCTAATAATTCTGTACCCGTACCTACTCCTACACATACCTGTCCAGGTATGTACTTAGGAGACCATGCACTTGGCTTCTTTTCGGTGTTATCACTGGCATTTTGCGAAACTCATATTCTCTAGCACAAACCTTCTCTGGGGGGCACTACTAGCATTACGTACTTTGGTCAGGGAGTGCTCACCATACCCCACGTGGTGCCGCCTCCTCCCCACACCCAAACTAGCAAGCATAGATGATCGGGGGAGTGATTCCCCATCCCTCCACCAAAGAGCCAACCGCCAGCGAACACGGTTCTCTCTCGGTGACTATCCGACGGTTTCTCTCGGTGACTATACCATGGTTTCAAAGTCTAAGGAAGAACGGAGCGAAAAGACATCGGAACTGTCCCATGAATGTTTGGAAGGCCTCGGGCTTGCTCTTGTCTTCTCATGCAAGTGGGGCTCAGACAACGTGTTGTCCTGTGTGCTCGAGACTGAGCTCGCGCAGCGGTGTGTCCTCCAGGCCCGTCCAGGTCGCTGCACCGCTCTTTGCGGACTCATCGGCATGCTTTGTGGGCGGCCTGCTACTCTATCGCATGTCCGCACCGTCTTTGGCTTATCGGGTCACCCGCTCACAAGCACTTAGGCAGCTTCTGTTTCTGAATGTGTATCCTGGCGATTGTGACGAACGCTGTCATGTCGGGAGGGTGCTAAACAGTTTCAACTAGGGAGGCCAAATTGGGGCCCACAATAAGGGCTCAGGGAGAAGGCTCGCTGCGGTACTTACAGGACAGGCTCCCGAGAGGATCAGGCTTACGGGTTCTGCATGAGATTAGCTGGGGGTGGGGGGTGATTGGGAAAGTCTTGAGGAGAGGCAGACATTGGCCACCGAACTTCCAGAGTCAGGCCGGATACTCCATTCATTGGGCTCACGTGCTCCTGACTTGTGCTCGCCTTCAAGGCTGCGATGGCCAACCAGCAACCAGCAACCACAGAGGGGAGCAAGGAGGTGCTCGTGGGGGTAACGTGGGCAGAGGAGACAGATGGGAGGGCTTTGGAGGGAGAAGAGTGTGGCACCCTTCAGGGGCAGAATTTTTAGTAGCTGGCCCCTGGAGAAACCAATCGCCTTGTTTGGCGGACCCGCTCCGAAGTGCAGCAGTCTCAAATCTCGACCGGCCTGAACGGGTCGGTCCCAGGAGGGTCCTTACCTTGGATGCAGCCACCAGCTGAGCGGTGCTAGCAGCTATCTCATGGGAACACACCATCAGCTCCTCAAACTTCCCTTTGCCCTGGACCACCAGGTCAGCGGCATCCCTGCGGGCCGGGAAAGGACAAGGTGTCACCAACAGCTTCAAGGCCTTCGATCCCACCTCTAGCCCACTGGCCGAAAAAGGGAGGGGTGTCCGTCTGCCCTGCCCGGGTGCTGTCTAGGAAACCCAGACTCTTTGAATGTGTGTACTTCCTGGGTGCACAGAGCTTTCCTTTCCTCCCCTGGGGTGGGGGCGGGTGGTGGTGGTGGCATTACTGCAGGCTGGTTGGGGACAAGGAGCCTTGGGCCCGAGCCACACTTACACCATCATGGTGGCTCCCCAGCCCACAGCTTTGGAGGCAGAGATAAGCCCTTCTGTCCACCGAGAGTTCTTGGCGTAAAACTCTTTCGGGGATGCTGTACCCTAGAGGGGTGGGAAAGAACTTTCCTGACGGCCTGCAACCCGCCAGGTGCCCTAACTCGGTCTGCCCCGTCGGTCTCAGGCGGTCTTCGCGGTCATCCTCCGAGGGCTGGAAGCACTGTCCCCCTGGTTGTAAAACCGAATCTCAACCTCCCAGGTCACACCGCATTTTTACAGAGGGGGGAAAAACATGACAAAATACTTGCCCCGAGGCCGTGCAGGAGATACATGGATGTGGATCCCCATGTTCCTGCTGCTCCAGCCCACAGTGTTTCCTCTCATC